ATTTGTCCTGAACCTATTGCCCATCAACTTCATTGGATGCCCCCAAAATCTAGTATCACTGGGGGGTGGGAGTTTCTCTATCCACTTTCTGCACGCCGTCCACAACTTTATAAACTTTTATCGTGTCCCCTCTTAGTTGCCCTTTTTTCTCAACTGAATAGTCCCCGACTCTTTAGCCTTTCGCCATAGGAAAGGTGCTTCAACTCCTTAATTATTTTGGCTGCCCTGTTCTGCACTTTTCCCCAATCCTGCAACATCCCTTTTGAGAAACAGCTCTGTATCTGCTTGGATAACTGTGTTGGATCCCGTTGGGTAGCCATGTTGGTCTGAAGCGGCAGAACCAAGTTCCAGTCCAGTGGCACTCTTAAGACCAACAGAGTTTTATCCAAGGTATAAGCTTTCATGTGTGTATCCGTGTGTAGGTGTGTGTGTGTATCTGAAGAAGTGTGCGTGCCCATGAAAGCTTATACCTTGAATAAAACGTTACACAACTGTGTAGGAAGGTTTTAAACAGGAAAAGTTATTTTCCCCCCCCCCTAAAGTTTGCTTTCAAGCTCTAATATAATATGGAGATAAGGATCAGATCTATTCCAAATGCTGGAAAAGCAGGCAGATCTGTTCATACACAATTTTAAAAAAATCCCCCCAAAACAGCAAATCACCTTTATCACTAAAGAAAAATCCCTGAGAAGCCCCCTGGAGCCCTTCCTTCTAGCTGATTTATGAAACATTGATACTTCCTTTAAAAAACTCAAAAAGTTAAGAGAAACATTAAATACTTCCTATCCTTTCTTTAAAAAAATCCTGTCAATGTCAACATCTGTGCACTTTTGCACAGCTCTATAGGCTAATGTTCATAACTGAAATAAATCACACGGTCTCCAGTTCTGCAGTCAGAGTGACAAATATGTGCTCACATTAAAATGTCACCTTAAAACAAAGTATTTAATTAGCTGTGGACAATAACCTGATTTATTTTTATCGCGGTCTTGTTTTTCTACATTTGTTCTACACTGCCTGCCAAACCAATATTACACTTAAAACAGTTACCCAAGACAAAAAATAAATAAATCCATGAACCCCAAAATGCAACACCAATTTTAAAAATATGAAGTTATAAAACCAACACATCTGAAAAAGCTAAAGCTAATGCCAACCAATCTGGAGGAAAGATTGGTGATCTTTGGGGATGATGGGCTCTCCTTCTTCGGGGGGTTTTAAACAGAGGCTAGATGGCCATATGACAGCAATGCTGATTCTGTGAACTTAGGCAGATCATGAGAGGGAAGGGTTGCCTCAGTGCTTAGTTCTTGTGGCCTTTCTTACACGCCCAGGGAAATGCTGATCGCCACTTTGGGGTCAGGAAGCAATTTTTCTCCAGGCCAGTTTGGCCAGGGATCCTGGAGGATTTTTTTGTCATCTTCTGGGCATGGAACAGTGGTCACTGGGGGTGTGGGGGGTATTTGTGAATTTCCTGCACTGGGGGTTGGACCAGATGACCCTGGAGGTCCCTTCCAACTCTATGATTCTATGAAACGTGTTTTTACTTGTCTTAGAAAAAAGATGAATTAAGCCACAGAACTTTTAATTTCAGCTGATTTCCGGTGCAACCCGGAAGTAACATCATCACCCACAGGTAATGCCATTTGCCCAGGGCTGATCCATTTCCTCAGTATTTTATCCCTCCTGTTGCCCAGCAGGGTGGCAGTGGGCAGAGCTGGCAGGGGGTGGGAGAGCCGGCCTTTGTACTGCAGAGATCATTTCTCCTAGTGGAAATGGCAGCTTCACAGGACAGACTCTACGTCACATTCCCAGTGAGTTCCCTCCCCTGATTAACTAGAAACTCGAAAGATTTGGGGGTGGAGCCTATGGAGGGTAAAGGGAGGGGCCTTGGGAGGATGTAATACCAGAAAGTCCACCCCCCAGAGCAGCCATTTTCTCCGGAGGACCTGATCAGTTGTAATTCTAAGAGATCTGCAGACTCCATCTAGAAGTTGGCAACCCTATATATAACCTTTAAGTGATCTTATCATACAGAAGGGAGTCAATTCTTGGGGTATCATTCTATGGGGAAAGAGCTTCAGGCACACTCAAATATCCTCCCAAGAGCAGATGCTACCATGATGCTTGACTGCTTGACTGCAAACAAGGTTGTTCTGCCGTGCTGAAGCCACAATGGAGTGGCTCCCCCCACTCCCCCCCAGCACTCCCTCCCTTGCATCAGTTGCTCGCGGGCCGCATAAGAGCCCTGCATGGGCCGGTTCTGGCCACCTGGCCTTATGTTTGACACCCTAGGGTTAAAGCCTGCAGGGGAGTTAAGGCCTATTTCCAAGCAAGGCAGGAAGCAGGTGTGGATGGGAAGCTACAGACAAAAAAGGAGCTGCAAGTAGACCTGTTGTTCCAAAGAAAACCCCAAAGTGAAAACACATAATACCTTTTATTAGGACCAACCAAAATGATACAAAAGAGCATGGAAGCTTTCAAGTCCCCAAGTGTCCTTTGTCTTGCTGAATTTGTTGCTGCAGCTGCTTTTAACTTTCAGTCTTGTGAAGAATTCTACAGAACTCGAAAACTTGCATAGTGCCTTGCATCACTTTGGCTACTATAAGGCATTACATGGCTTTTATTTCTGGCTACAGATAAAAGGCAGAGGAAGAATGAACCCTGTTGGCAGGCTCCAACAAGAAAGGGAACAAAGCATCCAGGAGCAGAAAAGAGTTAGGCATACGCATTCCCCTTTCCCCTGAATGACACCAAAGGGTCCCATAGTTTGTCCTACCTCCTTTCCTTATACTCGAAAACATTTGCACTTTGGTGGGGAGGCTGAGGTCCAGAGCCTCCTTTTCCTAGAGAGGGAATGACTGTTCAGACAATCTAGGGTTGCCAGCCTCCAGGTGGGGCCTGGGGATCTCCCGCTTTTACAACTGATCCCCAGCTGACAGAGATCAGCTCCCCTGGAGAAAATGGCTGCTTTGAAGGGTGGACTCTATGGCATTGTACTGTGCTGAGGCCCCTCCCCTCCACAAACCCCGCCCTCTCCTGGCTCCACCCCCAAAGTCTCCAGGTATGTTCCAAAAGACTTGGCAACCCTAAGTGACTGACATGTGACAAACGCAATACTGGGAGCCTGGAACTCACTGCAAGTTTTGTGGATGGTTGCCAGACAAGAGCTTCAAAGGACAACCCTGAGGGACACTGGAATTGTGTAGTGAGAACGGCAAAAGGGACGTCTCTGTGCTTAATTACAAGGTATTTATTAACCCAGAAATGATCAACAAAATCAAGGCGAAAGAGTGGTTCCTATAAAGAAAACCCAAATATACGTCCAGATAGATACGGGGCCTAGTGCACACTGAAGTACTGCAAAGGACTGTATTACACTGACTAATACAAGAAATCTGCCTCTATCTTTCCTGTAACTGCTGTGAAACCTCCATAGAACAACTGCTAATATCACAAGGCACAGCAGCACCTTAAAGACTAGCAAAATTTGTGGCAGAGTATGAGCTTTTGTGAGTCAGATATCTGAAGAAGTGAGCAGCCACTCAAAGAAGCGCATACCCTGCCACAAATTTTGTTAGTCTTTAAAGTGCTACTGGACTCTTGCTCTTTTCTACTACTGCAGACAGACAAATACAGCTACCCATCTTGATCTATCTTAGGGTTGCCAAGTGAAGAAATCGCCACAGCAGGGGACTCCCAGCTTGCGGCTTGAGCACTGTCCGAGGGAAAACCATAGAGTTTTCCTTCGGATGGTTGTGGCCCCGCCCCCAGCATGCCTGGCGTCGTCACGTCACTTCCTGGTGACGTGCACATGGGGGTGGGGTCCCCCCTGGGGCCCGATCCGCCGGCAGCGGGGAACGGGCCTCTGGAGTGGGGGTTTCCCCGCCCCCTGGGGGGACTTGGCAAGCCTAATCTATCTACAAGGCATAACAACTGGAGAAGGACGTCCTTCTTCACCCAAAGAGTGATTAACACTTGGAATTCACTGCCACAGGAAGTGGTGGGTGCTACAAGCATGGACGGCTTCAAAAGGGAATTAGATAAGCATATGGAGCAGAGGTCCATCAGTGGCTATTAGTCACAAGGTATAGCTAGGGGCTCTGGGGCAAGTGATGCTCTGTCTTCTTGGTGCTTGGGGGGGGGTCAACAGTGGGAGGGCTTCTAATGTCCTGGCCCCACTGCTGGACCTCCTGATGGCACTGGTATTTCTGGCCACTGTGTGACACAGAGTGTTGGACTGGATGGGCCTTTGGCCTGATCCAACATTGGCGTCTCTTATGTTCTTATGTTCATAGAGTTTTCCCTCGGATAGCTGTGGCCCCGCCCCCAGCGTGCCCGGCGTCGTCACGTCACTTCCTGGTGATGTGCACGTGGGGGGGTCCCCCCCGGGGCACGATCCACCACCAGTGGGGAATGGGCCTCTGGAGCGGGGGTTTCCCCGCCCCCCGGGGGGATTTGGCAAGCCTAATCTATCTACAAGGCATAACAGCTGGAGAGACCCTTTTGGCCTTCTTTCCCCCTCTCCACCCACATTTTAGACCACTTACTGTCAATGTACTATGCCATGTACTATGTACCCATGCCAGCCACACAAACCAATTTCTTTAAAAGAGAAGGAGGCGAGTGAGAGAAATGCATCTGCATTAACAAGATGTCGGTAGTGATTATAAGGCATAAAGCAGGAGGCCACGACAAATTCACCTAACGCACACAACTGATTTGCCGGAATGAGATTTTTCAGTATATTCAAGAGCAACCTGTATAAACTTTGCGGATAAACTAAAATGGCTCCTGTGAAGACCTCCTTTAGTAGGAAAATCTTTCCTGCCTCTTCATAATATATACCCTTGAGTTTGTAGAGACGTCTTCACTGAATGCTTACAAAAGAGCAGAACAGACAATCCACAGATGCAGGAATTAACATTTCAGCAGGTTATACTCCCACAAGAAGTCAACAAAGATGGGCATTCCATTTACGTAAGAAGAACTATACTAACCTCCGAGCTAAAAGGACCATATCTGTGGCCAGCGATATCTGGTTGTTCAGAATAGAAAGCGTATGCATAAGGTCTGAAAGAAAGAAAAATTTCCCACAACATTTCTTTAAAGCAGGTCCACTCAAGTCAACCATAGCTTCCATTGTGGGGAGGGTGTGGGGAGAGACTTCTACTGAGTCGTAAGTCTGCAGCCTAATTAAACAATTAGTTGTTCCATAACTTTGTGAAATATTAGCAGGCATACAGAGAAGTACACAGGGTCAAAACACACTGATGGAGAAAAAAGTTTCATAAGAGAGAAGGGGGAGGCAGAGGAACAAGCAGCAATTTCCAATGTCTGTGCCCGCTGGAAAGTTACAATGCCCTGCATGCACCGTTAAAAATCTTGACATTGGCCCAAACCTCAGCATGCAATGCTTACATGAGACTAAACTGGATTAAGGGGGGGGACACAGTAACCCATGCAACATTAACCCGCACAATTAAATGTTCGCCATCATGAACTTGTTAGGACAGAAAAGGCAATTGAACAAAACTAAAAATCTACTAAGGTGACTGGCAACACTGGCATTCAGGCCTGTAGCTACAGTGGGGCAGTTCGGGGCCTGGCCCCCTGACTTCCAGCCAAGGCCCCCTGACTTCCATGCAGCCCCCAGGCCCCCCAACTCACTGGGCCACCTGGAGGACTCCCCACCACCGCCCCTCCTCCAAGCGCAGCTTGCTTCCCCGCATAGGCAAGCAGAATGCGAACGCTGCAAAAGTAAGTTTTTAAAATTTTTATTTTTTTTATTTTGTGACGTCAGTGCCCCCCCCCCACTTATTTACAGGCCCCCTGAATTACCCGATTGCTGGACGCCGCAAGTCCTCTCCTCACGGGTCTTGCGGTGGTTCATTTTCCTTGCGGGCTACAACTACCAGCTACAATTATAAAATCCTGGCTACGGCCCTGCAGTGGCATTCTATTCTCTTTTGCAAAGCTACAGCAGGAAAAGAGGGGGGGAAACCTTACCTTTCGTTATCTGGAAGGGTTAGCCATTGCAGTATCGTTAATATTCTGCGTTCATGAGGAATCATACTAGACCAGAATAAAGGAAACAGGATAAAGCATCAGCTAGACCATTGAGTTCAATGGGCTTAGAAGGACGTCACTCTGGTTAGGACTGCACTGTAAGTCACAGTAATGAGATCTCATCGTTATTCACAAGTTTCTATTGCTCACTCAATAGATCGCAGCAACTGTGCAAATTTAGGCTGTGTTTGATGGGCTCTTTTTGTAGCAGGAGCTCCTTTGCATATTAGGCGACACACCCCTAATGTAGCCAATCCTGCAAGAGCTTACAGTAGCCCCTGTAAGAAGAGCTCTGTAAGCTCTCGGAGGATTGGCTACATTAGGGGGTGAGTCACCTAATATGCAAAGGAGCTCCTGCTACAAAAAGAGTCCAATGGTAAAAATTGAGCAACTTGATCCCCCATTCAACTAAGGATAAGGTGAGGTAAAAAGGTTCTCCAAAAGACCCCAGAGGGATTACAGGAAACAAACCCACCTTTTTTATATGGCTATAATAGACATTAATGAGAGAAATTCAGAAAGGTAGCCCTGCTGGTCTGAAGATCTTCGCCACCCACGGCCTGCCAGACACCATCGTCTCGGACAATGGGACAACGTTTACATCTGAGGAATTTCAGCAGTTCCTCAGCAACAACCTGATAAAACACATCAGGTCGGCACCTTTCCACCCTGCTACCAATGGCCAAGCGGAACGCATGGTCCGGACAGCGAAAGAAGCATTAAGCCGCCTGACGGAAGGTGACTGGGAATGCCGCATCGCCTGTTTCCTCTTAACGCAGCGACCAACGCCAAACCCCATAAGCAGTTGCTGCCCAGCGGAACTATTAATGGGTCGGAGGTCAACAATCCTACTGGACCGCCTGCACCCCGATCGGGCTCCTGAGCCACGGAACTCCTCCCAGCAGCAGCTCTCTTGAGAGCTTCCTTTGAGAGAACAACTCCGAGAGAACAACTGACCCAAGGTCACACCAGCAGCTGCAAGTGGAGGAGTGGGGAATCAAACCCAGTTCTCCCAGATTAGAGTCCGCACACTTAAACACTACTGCTGGGTCCAGGGGCAACTTTAAGACCAACAAAGTCTAATTCTGGGTATAAGCGTTCATGCACATGCACACTTCATCAGATCCAGATATGAGTCCAGTAATACCTCAGAGGCCAAGATTTTCAGGGTATAAGAAGAAGAGATTGGATTTATACCCCACCCCTTCACTTGGAGTCTCAGAGCGGCTTACAAACTCCTCTCCCTTCCCCTCCCTACAACAGACACCCTGTGAGGTGGGTGGGGCTGAGAGAACTCTGACTCAAACTGCTCTTTTTCAAGGACAGCTGTGCCAGCGCTTGTGACTGACCCAAGGTCACATCAGCAGGTGCAAGTGGAGGAGTGGGGAATCAAACCCGGTTCTCCCAGATTAGAGTCCGCACACTTAACCACTACACCAAACTGGCTCTATAAGCTTTTGAGAGTCAAAGCTCCTTTCATCAGATAAGACAATGGAGCATTTTGGGAAAGTACTATATAGATACTAGATGTCATCGTTGAATCAATATGAAGGGCATGTTTTAATGACACAAATTATGAAAGGGGTGGGGGGAACAGAGAAAACTTTATGCTACTTGACTTAAAAGCCATTTAACCGGTGGAGCCCAGGGCGTCAATTTTAAGGCCTGAAGTTTGAGTCCAGTGGCACCTTATTTTACTTCTTTTTATTTTGGGGATTTTTACCCCGCCCACAAGCAGGTCTACCTTTAAGACCAACAAAGTTTAATTCTGGGTATAAGCTTTTGTGTGCATGCACACTTCTTCAGATACATTAAAACAAGACTTCCTCAACCATTACATACAGGTAGAGAGCGGGAGGTATGGGGGGTTAGTTGCCAGGAAGGGCTAATTAGAGTCAAGGTGCATAAGTAACCGAGTGTTAAGTATAGTTTTAACAAGGGGGGGACCCGCGATACTCGCGGGGGGGGCAGTCTCTCTCTTTCCCCCCAGTCTCTCTCTCTCTCTCCCCCCCTTCTCTCTCTTCCCCCAGTCTCTCTCTCCCCCGCCTTCTCTCTCTTCCCCCCCAGACTGTCTCTCTCTCTCTCTCTCTTTCCCCCGTCGCAGCGTGGCCCGCGCGGCTAACATCCGCCGGGCCTTGCCGGGCTGTCTCCCCCCCTCCCCATTCCCCCTCCCCCCGACTTTCTCTTGGCACTTTCGGTGGGATTTAAATATCCCCCCGATATATTTTTTTAAGTTTTTTTAGTTTTTAGATTTTTGTGCACCCCTGGGGACTGCCCCAAGAGTGCACAAAACTCTCCCTGCCCCCCAGCTGCCCCCGGAGCGCTGATTTAGCGATCCACACTCCGGGGGCAACTTGGCTATTAGATATATAGATGTATCTGAAGAAGGGTTGTTTGTTGGTCTTAAAGGTGCCACTGTACTCGAACGTTGTTCTGTTGCTTCAAACCCAGGAGTCATTTCCTGTGGGAGTGCACAGGAGCGGAGCTCCAGCAGTAAGGAGCCCAGGGGGCGGGCACATGCAAAAAGACCCACCCCCTGCTCCCAGCAGCCCTCAGTTGGGCCACAAGGAGCAAAGTCTCCAGGTAAGTTGTAGAGCCGCTCCCCCCTGGCCCGCCTTCAGGTACAAGCTTTCCCTCATCTGTGAGGGCAGATCTTCGTGTGTCCCCCCCCATAGCTAGCAATCCAAAAGAGTCCAGTGGCACTTTTAAGACCAAGTTTTATTAAGGTACAAGCTCTCCCTCCTCTATGAGGACAGATCTGCACGTCCCCCCCCCCAATAGCTAGCAGTCCAAAACAGTCCAGTGGAACCTGAGTGGTGGGTGTTGCCTTCTGACACACTTCCAGTGATGTCAGGGGGTATGGCATATGCAAATAAGTTATGCTAATAAGTTATGCTAATGAGCTCCTGCACCTGTTTTTCTATGAAATGACTCCTGTTCAAACCAACACAACCACTCCATCTGAATCTACTTTTATAGCCTGTTCTTGTGGAAGCTGAACATCATCCATTTCAACTGTACAACATTTTATATCCAAGTAATTTTGCCTGCCTTTAGCCATTATGACAAGCTGCCATCGGGCACGAACACAGTTTGTTTCCATGCTCAAATGCTCCCCTTCCTCCTCCTTTTGCGTGCAATGCTTGGTTGAAACTTGCTGGGTAGATTGAGCTGCAGTTTGCTGTAACAACTCAGTGCAGGGGCCCTGGCAAATTGAAGTCTCACACCCCCAGCCACAACACGAACTGGGATTCTAACCCTCTGCTACATCCCAGTTTAAAACTCTGGGATTACATTAAAACTCCCAGTTTGCTGAGGCTCCTGCATTCAGACGGTCTGGAAAAGTTGGAGCTTTGTCAGTCGATAAGTTTTCAACCAAGCTCCATGCACCAGAGGAGGGAGACAGGAAAGGAGCCACATGAATACGGCTACGAACTGTGTTCACGCTCAATGACAGTCTAATTACACCTTCTTGTAACGTCTGAATTCAGCCAGTGTTTAATATTGTGGTTGTGCGCTGCATTCTCTCTCACACTGTTCAGAAAACAAAGATTACTTACGGCGACCAAAAGAATGTACCAGCTTTCACCCCTTGCTTGGCGGCAGTAATCCATATCTAATGAGGAAAATATAAGCAGATTACAAAAAGGGCTCAAGACTTTTGGTCACAAGGGAGAACAATTAATAGAACTAAATGTCATAACACATTCTCCCTCCCCCCACGTTGGATTCCATCTCTGCCACTTAAAATTGGAGCCTTCATACTGCAAACAGATTAGAAAGCCAGAACGTCAAATCAGTGTTACAAAGCTAAATATCCTGACCAGGGCCCTTCCTCTAAACATTGTGCACTGCAATTCCACACATGTAAAATTCCAGTAGAATCAATTATATTGTTCACATAACCAGCCATCTGGACGTGCAAAGGTCACAGGAGAAGCCTGGAAGCATGGCTCCCTGCCCACAGCAATCTTGGTTTGTGCAATTTTGCATTTAGCACACATTGACAAGTGCAATTTTCCTGGCTGCGCGCAAGGTCAGCTCACCGCAGGCCAGGGCCACCACATGAGGACTTTAAAGTTCTCTTCACATAGCCTCCATGTGCCCAAGTATTGTGTAACGGACATTTATATGCATGCATTCACATCCAGGACCCTCCATCTTTCTACATAAAACACCAGCGAGCATTTGTCAGGTTTCAAAAAAACAGAGACATACCAGGATAGCAGCGTACAGACCCTTAAGCAGTTTAACATATGCTAGGCAAAGTTAAGCATACCAGAATGGCCAGAACTATCAACTGCTCTGCGCTTTTATAGCCTGGTAGAATATTCCAGCTACTTAATGTTCCATGACGGGGGTCCCCAACATGATGCCTTGCACTTCAAGCAGAGGTCATTTCGGGGGGGAATCGCGAGGGATCGCAGTTCCCCCGGGTGAGGTACAGGGGGCGGGGCACATGATGAAGCCCCGCCCCCTGCTTCCGGCCGCCCCGCTTCCGGTCCTCATTCAGCCAGGAGGAGGCAGGAGAAGAGGGAGGGTAAGTTGCTTGTTCCCTGCCTCTCCCCACCCCTGCCTGCCTGGAGCCAGGGAGGGCCTTGGCGGGGCTTCCTCGCACTCCCTCCGGCCTTGCAGGTCCACCGCCGGGCCCCTCATGGGGCTCGGCAGTGGAGCTGCAAGGCCGGCGGTGGCGGCCGGGACCGTTGGGGGCGGGGTGTGTGGCCTTATGACACACTTCCGGTGATGTCAGGGGGTGTGGCATATGCTAATGAGTTATGCTAATGAGTTCCCCTAGCTCTTTTTATATGAAACGACCCCTGACTTCAAGACTAACATTCAGTTATTGCACAGCAAATCTCAGGGAGGGAAGCAGTGCAAAATTTAAATCCAAAGGCATTCTTCATCACCTACCGCTGGCCAGAAGCATCAGATTGCTACAGGACTGCTTTGTTACAGAAAGGCGGCACAGTGATGGAAAACTAAACTGTGTACAATATGCTATGGGAGAAACCAACATTCTAGTAGCAAATTAAAAGCAAATACAACACTTGGGTTGATTAATTCAGGAGTATTCAGGTAACCAGTTCAACCATCTTTGGTGGTGCACACTGGTCCTTAATGAGTCACAGTAGTGGGTCCTTAAGGGGCTAAGATAAAGTACCATCTGGACAAATAAAAGATGGTCTAACTCCTCAAAAACAAAGCTATCAAAACTAAATGCTGACTCCTAAGATGGTTATTTCACTACTTTCAACCTTTGGCAAAGAATTCCAGCATTAGTCATGAATGTGTAAAGAATCAGTCAAGAACATGCAAAGAATCCCAGTATCAGTCATGAATGTGCCACCAAAGTCCAGTTTCAAGAGTCAAAGTTCCCTGCTTTCTGCTCTGTCCACGAACCACCATGAACTGTCACAAATGGCTTTAAAAGTTTGTGGAAGTTTGTGACAGTGGATCCATCATGAACTTCGGTTCGCAAACCACAAACTGGGCAAATTCCGTGACGAATTTTGCTTCTTGGTTCGGTTTGTGCCCATCCCTAGTAAAATCTGGCCCCGGTCACACGGGAGGCTTTGATCTGCGAGAGGGACAGATCGGGGGCGCATCAAGTAGGCGCGATCACACCGCAACATCTGGGAAGTGGCGCGCACTCGTCCCCGATCCGTCTCTTCCGGCTGAAGATGCAGATCAAAAAAACCCCTACAAAACACTACTACTTACCAGAAAATCCGCAGCAGGGGCAGCCGTGGGATCGCCGGCGCACCCGTCTCTGGCAGCATGCGAGGCCCCCTGCCAAAGTGTGCAGGCGGACACATGCGCAGCGGGCTCGCCTCGCTCACCCATCTGTGGCTTCCCCCCAGCATCTGATCATGCCGGGGAGCAACTGTGTGGCGGCTCGGGGGATCTGTCTGATCCCGCCGCCGCGCTTCTCTTTTGATGCGGCTCAAAAAAGCCACACTTCAGCCGCACCTTTCCCCCCAGTGTGACCGGGGCCTCTGTAGCCTGCTTTGCCAGTTTCCAAACTTGTGATTCACTCTTGCTTTTGCAGTCCCCCAAGGATAATCTACCTCAGCAAATTCCATATGGGCTTGCCCCGGTGCTTCAGCTGATGCAAGAACTGGTGCACAACTGCTAGGAAAATATTCTACTATTGCCACAGAATCTAGGCTGACTCTCTGTTATTTTCAGGCCTCGACCTAAATCACTGATTCTGACTTAACACTGTTAACTGCTTGGGCCCAACAATCACCCGTGCCCCTGTGCAACCAAGGCCTTCTTCTGCTCTTCCCCTCCCTACATTGCCACAGAATCTAGGCTGACTCTCTGTTATTTTCAGGCCTCGACCTAAATCACTGATTCTGACTTAACACTGTTAACTGCTTGGGTCCAACAATCACCCGTGCCCCTGTGCAACCAAGGCCTTCTTCTGCTTTCCAGGGACAGCAAGAACACCAAGAGGTGTTTCTGAAACATTGCCTCACAGCTATGCAATCCCCTTTGCCCTGAGCCTGAGCATCCTTTGGCATGGATGCTATCCTGTCTTAAATAAACTGGCTTTTGGCAAGTAGGCTAAGATTGCCAGGGATTTAATTGGGCTGGATGGAACTTCATGGTGTATACAACTGCTGCACAGATGCTTTTATTTAGATGGGAAAGATTTGGAATGAGTGATGATAAATTTAGTAAACAAATGCTTAGACGTTTTGACTCTGGAAACGCGGCTCAGATTTGCAGCAAAAATGGCACGCGCCTAGAAATTAACATTATTTCCTAGTAGCTCAAGCACAGGGAGTTCACAAGTCTTACAGGATGAATTCTGGAGAACCAAGTCCTGCTTATCACTGACATCTGCATATAGGGTCCAAACGTATATGAGAAAGTGTCCCTAGCAAATGGGGGGGGGATATTTAAAGGAAACTTAGATGGAAGCCTATCTGCTACAAGCTCTACATCTTAATCACCCACTTTCCTTCCATTGCCTGGGTATTTACTATTGTGGCTGCTATTAAAACTTTACACTGCCCTCCCTGTTCTTAGCTAGACTGTGGGGCAATATCTAAGTCCTTATTGCTCTTTCTCCCCCAGGGGCCTGGAAAATAGCTGGCCCTTCAGCCCCTTTGTTAATGGGAGCTCCATGTCCCTTTTGTCCAGGAAAAAAAACAACACTTCCAGTTGCTTAAGAAGTTGGCCACTTGTAGAAACACCATGTTCCTTGCTGGACATTGTGATGACAAGAAGCGTACATTAATCTTTCAAGGTCAGCAGACCCTTTGTATTGGCTTTGGGTGTTGAAAGTAAAAGAAATGTGGCCATGTTTTCAGTCCCCCTTTCAGTAAATGATAAGGCCACAATCACATGGACCCCCACTGGTGTAATGTTATGTTCTTCCAAAAGCTGATGGCCCACAACACTCTTTGGATTGCTACTCTGGATTTTAATTTAACCATTTTTTTGTTAAAGTGCTATGATTAAATATTAAAGGAAGATAAATTATATCTTGAAAAGGGGGACTGAAAAATAATTCTGACAGGATCATTTACTCTTGACAGGATCACTGAATTCAACGAAGAAGGAGAAGTGTTGGTTTTTATACCCTGCTTTACTCTACCTTAAAGAGTCTCAAATCGGCTTACATTGGCTTTCCTTTCCTCTCCCCACAACAGGCACCTTGTGAGGGAGGTGGGGCTGAGAGAGTTCTGAGGGAACTGTGACTGGCCCAAGGTCACCCAGCCTGCTTCATGTGGAAGAGTGATAAGTGAGGCTGAGAGAGTAGGTAAGTGAGGCTGAGAGAGTTTTGACAGAACTGTGAGTCGCCCAAGGTCACCTAGCAGGCTTTGTGTGGAGGAGTGGGGAATCAAACCCGGTTCTTCAGATTAGAGTCCACCACTCTTGACCACTATGCCATGCTGGCTCTCACTCCCTAACTCTTACTCCCTAACACAAAACTGCAGTCCTAGTCACAGCCAGGGGTCGTTTCGTAGAAAAAGAGCTAGGGGAACTCATTAGCATAACTCATTAGCATATGCCACACCCCCTGACATCACCAGAAGTGTGTCATAAGACCACACCCCCTGACATCACGCCGCCGGCCTTGCAGCTCCACTGCCGAGCCCCATGAGGGGCCCGGCGGTGGACCTGCAAGGCTGGCAGGAGTGCAAGGAAGCCCCATAAAGGCCCTTCCTGGCCCCAGGCAGACAGGGGTGGTGAGAGGCAGGGAGGAAGCAACTTACCCTCCCTCTTCTCCTGCCTCCTCCTGGCTGAATGAGGGCCGGAAGCGGGGCGGCCGGAAGCGGGGGGCGGGGCTTCATCATGTACCCCGCCCCCTGTACCTCACCCGGGGGAACTGCGATCCCCCGCAATTCCCCCCAGAAATGACCTCTGGTCACAGCTAACTTCGACCCTATAACATGTAGTTAAGAAACAACAGAGGAGCCCGCTAGGATTGCCAGCTCAGGGTAGGAAAATACTTGGAGATTTTTTGGGGGGTGGAGTCTGGGGAGAGGAGGGTTTGGGAATAGGAGGAAGCTCAGCGGGGATATGATGCCATACAGTCCACCCTCCAAAGGGGCCATTTTCTCCAGGGGAACTGAACTGTGTCACCTGGAGAACAGGTGTAATAAAGGAAGGTCTCCAGGCCCTACCTGGAGGCTGGCTCCCCTACAAAGACTGATTTTGTATGTAGTAACAGAACTATTATTTTTGGCTACATTTCACAAGCTTTATAAGAACATAAGAGACGCCAATCTTGGATCAGGCCAAAGGCCCATCCAGTCCAACACTCTGTGTCACACAGTGGCCAGAAATACCAGGTGCCATCAGGAGGTCCACCAGTGGGGCCAGGACACTAGAAGCCCTCCCACTGTTGAACCCCCCCCCCCAAGCACCAAGAAGACAGAGCATCACTTGCCCCAGAGCCCCTATCTATACCTTGTGGCTAATAGCCACTGATGGACCTCTGCTCCATATGCTTATCTAATTCCCTTTTGAAGCCGTCCACTTGTAGAAACACTCTCTGGGGCTGAGAAAGCTCTGACAGCTTTGAAACTTACTGGTTGTCCTCCCCACCATCTGTGGTTGAACTTCTCCCGGCCTCGCAGACTAAAGGCGGCATCAAATACAGGGTCATACATTGAATTGCCAATGATTCCATGAGATTCAGGGTAGAGTCCCTTTGTACAAAAGGAAAATTAAAATTAGTGAAACTCTTTATACTCTGTGCCCTAAGCATTTCGTTGACTTTTTTAATAGCATAAGTGCTGTAATCAAAAGAGACTTTAAAAAGTGTTGAAACTGTTAGGTAATTAAGTAGATTATTAACTAGGCAACATGACTTCAGTACAGAAATTACTAGGTTTAAAAGGAAGAATGTAACGGCTTCAGATGATTGTATAGAAAGCAGGGGTTTTTTCCCTCAGAGACAAAGATCCATCTTATAAAATACTCTGTGAAGTAAAATCCATAATAAACAAAAGATCTCTTTCCCCTACCAGTACTGTTTAATTCTACATCTATATGACAATTTATAGACAATCTTGTGGAGTCATGAATAACAGTTTAAACATTTATAGTTGTATACATAGTGGTTTAACATTAATGGATCTACCTATTTTTTTTGGTATATTATTCCTGCCTGCTAGCTCAACTATCCAATTAACTCAAGTGAGTACTAAAAGAACATCAGATAAATGTTCTGTCCCTCACCTGAAAATCACTTTACACGTGAGAACACTTCACCTACATGGATGTGTACAGTTACAGGTGATGATCAAATATTTTTGTAGTGTACACATATGCCAGAAAACTCAGGGTGGTGGAAAGAGCCATCAAGTCACACAGATACGTAGCTACAGTGGGGCCTCTTGATACCCCGCCCTTCACTATCCAAAGGTGTCTCAGAGCGGCTTACAAACTCCTTTCCCTTCCCCTCCCCACAACAGACACCCTGTGAGGTAGGTGGGGCTGAGAAAGCTCTGACAGAAACTGCTCTTTTTCATGAACAGCTCTTATCAGAACTACGGCTTGCCCAAGGTCATCCAGCCAGGTGCAAGTGGAGGAGTGGGGAATCAAACCTGGTTCTCCCAGATTAGAGTCCGCACTCCTAACCACTACACCAAACTGGCTCTCAAACTTACCAGCAAGGCCCCATGGCTTCCCATCCAGCCCAGCCCAGCCCCCCCCCAACTTTCAATGTTTGTTTTATTTATGGCACTCACTTGTGGTGTGTGAGGGGTGCCCCCCAACTTATTTAAAGGCTCCCCGAATTTAAAAAATCCCAGCTACGGGCCTGAAGTCACAGCTGACTTATGGTGACCCCGTAGGGTTTTCAAGGCAAGAGGCATTCAGAGGTGGTTTGCCATTGCCTGCCTCCACATCACGACCCCGGTATTCCTTGGAGGTCTCCCTTCCAAATACTGACCAGGGCCAACCCTGCTTAGCTTCTGAGATCTGAGGAGATCATGCTAGCCTGGGCTAATACCCATATAGATAACAAAACATGTTTTCTTCACAAAATAGTGAGTACACAACAGTCTAGCTAGGATGTGTGACACATCCCTGAAAGTTAATATCAGGGAGGGAAAATGCTGTGAACAGTTTCTTGATTGTTGCTTTAACAAAATCCAAATAAAAGCTATGTGGTTAAGGCCATGGGCTGGGGGGGGGATTACCTCAATTTACACCAACAAGGACCAGGATGGAATTAAAACACAGTTGTACCACCCTCCAGTTTTTGGCAATGTGTGTTTGCCTCTAGTAACTATTAACTTTGTCATGACACAGATATGTGGAAAACATAACCTTTCTCATTTCTGCTTCAAAGCATGGTAAAAATGTCATTTGCTGGTTTACACACAAACATGCATGAAGCTATGTGATACTGAATCAGAATCAAGGTCAGTATTGTCTACTCAGACTTGCAACCAATGCTCCCTCTAAGCTGTGGAGTCTTGTGAACAAAAATTCTGCTTTGTGAGCGACTGGCATTAAAGTTGTGAGTGAGCGATTTGGCTACTGCTTAAATTAGTTTGCTCTGGAGCCAGCCTTCCTGAGCTAAGACAAAAATGTGTGAGCTGGAGGCTAAACAACTGAGTTAGCTCACACTAACTCAGCTTAGAGGCAACACTGCTTGCAACAGCTCTCCAGGATCTCAGGCAAAGAGGTCTTTCACATCACCAACTGCCTGGTCCTTTATACTAGAGATGCCAGGGATAGAACCTGGGACCTTCTGCATGCCAAGCAGATGCTCCGCCACTGAGCCACAGCCCCTCCCCAGAATGGTTTACATTCCGAGGTTTTCCTTCTACCCTTCTTCTCATTTTACAATTTACAGAAGGATAAGATCAATTTCATTTATCCATAAAGCAAATAAAAATGACTTACTGTTGCCAGAGTATATAAGTTAGGGAAGGTTTTTGTAGGATAGACAGGCCTCATATACGGAGCATGAGTTCCACAGGATCCTGAAAACAATATATAGGATGGTATATTATAAAGCAGAATGAGTATAAACAAAAGTAAACACCAAAAGGTGCCATGGTTAAATATCATCTCAACACATACAGGACTCCTATACCAAGCTCACTTTTGGCAAGATGTAACTACTGAAAACTATATACATTTACAACATGAATACATGAACTATACAAAATAACCCATTGTATACTGGATCTTATCCAGTACCAGTTTTGCTATATGCCGATGACTTAGTGCTGATATTGAGGACGTGCATTGGGCTGAAATGTGCAATAAGAGCCTTTATTGCTTATTGTGACAGTGAATTATTGGAAATTAATGAAGAAATTGAAAATAATGATATTTACTAAGTCATCTAAAAGACAAAGTAAGGAACGGAAAATAGGAGCTTATAAATTCCAACAGGTTGATGAATTTAAATATTTAGGTATCATTTTTCAATCAAATCTGAAATGGACCAATTATGTCCACTATCTTAAAGGGAAAGTTGAACTAGCACTATTGGCACTTAAAAAAAGTTTCTACACCCATGAAACCCAATACGTTCCAGCTCTTCTGAAAGCATATTGAGCCTTAATTTTATCTCATATTTTGTATGGCTCCCCAATATGGTTCACAGGTCAGGTCTGGTAGATCTTTTGGAAAAAAACTCAATTAACTTTTTCGTAAAATTTTATCTCTGCCACCATCTATCGCTTCTTCAGTGATACGTTTAGAGTTAGGGTTACCAAAGATCTCGACCTTGATTTGGAAAGCTATAGTCAACTATATATAGAGATTGTTGACTGCTGAAAATCTTCCAATTTTGACCTCTCTATCAGTACAAGATCGACATTGGCAAGGAAGAAATAATGCTGTGGACACAAAACAATTATGCATACGTAAAACAGGGAACGGAACTTCTAAAGCCAGAACGGCTCTCAACATAAAATTAATGGAGAATGACTGGAATGCATTACAAAGGGATGCCACACAGAAATGTGGGGATTAAATACTCCATCAAATTTGACATACCACACTATCTGTATGTGCTATCCATTCCTAAATTGAGAAGAGCATATATGGTGGCACACTGCAATGCATTCCCATCTGCACAGATGAAGGGTCGTTTTCAGGGCATCCCAGCAAGACAACGTTACTACGACTGCCCATTAGCAACTATAGGCTCATTTGCCCATATATTTTTCTGTTGCCCAAAACATGCAGTTGCGAGATAAAATTTCCTGAGGAAATGGCTATTAAAATTTTCTTCCTTTTCAGAATCTACAAGGTTGAGGCTTTTGCTGAGTACTCTGTGCCATAACTGTATAATAGATGCGGCACTTTTCTGTTATACTGTCTTTTTAAATGTCTAAAACCTTTTTAAAAGTCTAAATTAGTATTTATGGTATATATGGTATATCAACCTAATAAATTGAACTGAACTGAACCCATTGTATAGAACAAGGCAGTGTGTTTCTTCTAAATGCGTTGTCTTTTTTTAATCTGCAAGTCTCTATCTGGAGATTAATAGAACAATAAATTTAAATGCAGTTTTAATCGTGCATCTGCCCCACTGGGGAAACTTTTATTGCCTTTCTGAACAAGCTACAAACACCACATTCATCTACTAGTAGTTTAACCATTCATGAAATAACAAAGGTTTAAGTTTATTGAGCCGCACGAGATATTTAAGGGATGTTTTACTAGACTGATGAATTTTATAAAAAAGAAAGCATGCAACATTTTTATAGAGAAACACACACCCCACACACCGAGAAGCTGCTCCAATAAAAAGGCCTAATCTTACCAATTTATACCTGACTCGGCAAACAAAAATGCCATAGATTCCTCAAAGCAATAAACGGAGGCCACTGATATATCTGATTTGCCCTATCAAGGCAGACTCCACTTAAAGCTAAGAAGAAAACATGGCGCTGGATAGCAGAAGTAGTAGTACACTAAACATTACCTTTGGGGAGCGAGGTCCTCCTCCCTGCAATATACTACCCTTTTCAGTTGTTACAGTTGACCACGTGTATGGAACAAAAGTGCTATGTGCAATCCATCCGTTATGTGCAACCACTGTTTTTTAAAAAAGGGCAATGCACACATCCCCGTTTCAGAACACACATACCAGACTACAGATTAAACTTAGGTGTGGTATCCATGTACCAAGGTGGAAAATCCACTTGTTGCCCTTTCTAGAAGACATGGCACTCACACATATTGGGAAGATGACACATAGTTCATTCCATATGTGCAGTCACAGCACATGGGAACATAATGTCTAGAAAGAACTACTACTACTACTACTACTACTGTGAATACGGTGTTTTCTAGACTTCAGCTGCCTTTTGGGTTTTCATCGGTGCGATCAGTTCAACTTTACATTTTGTTCCCATTTTTCCTCATCACAGTTCCATCTGTTCATACTCACATTGAGGACTGGGGGGGGGGTTGGGGGGAGTCAGGGCTTTTGCACGTGTGCTGAAGCGTTGTAGCATTTCAGCAGCCTCTAGGGGGCTCCGCAATCCCCATTAAAGTACACAAGGACTTAGGATCATTCCTGGCGTACATGTCTCACCCTTTATTGGTTGCCTCTCTTCCCGCATTTGAGCAGTCTCTCTGATTGGCTCTCCCCCAATTTTAAATTCCTTTACCTGACTTGCATCAGATGCAGAGCTCCAATGGCATACCTAGCATATCTGACACCCAGAGGTCAGAGGTCCCCCCACCTCTATATGACAAAATTGTCCAGAGCAGGGTTCAAGTGAGCTTACTCCTGATGAACTCAGTGGGGCTTATGTTCAAGTGAGCATGCATGGAGGGGGTGCTTTCAGGATGAGCCTGCCCCAGTCTCTAGCACCTGTGCCCTTTTTCGGGGGGCGGTAAGTCTCCATGAAAGCCCCCTCCTCATTTTGCTCTGCCAAGCCGCCAACTTTGCACAGAGTGGTGGCTGCTCTCCCAAGAGAAGCTCTGCATTTATGCACACGAACACCCATCCCTCTGGATGGGACTTTGGCCAAACAATACTCCTTCCGGGTTCCATGAGGGTCAAGGGCTCTGGGCTTTTGACACAAGATAGTCCCATTGAACACCTTGAAATGTGCTGCCACCGATGCATTCATAAAATAGATCAGGCGGCAGAGAAAATAAATGGGACATGAGATTGGCTGCCCAGGAAAGGCCACATCTGGCTGACCAGTCTAAACTGGTAAAATGCACTCTGGGCCACCGCTGCCACTTGCACCCCCAGACCAATGCTCCCGCTAAGCTGTGGAGTCCTGTGAGCAAAAATTCTACTTTGTGAGCTACTGGCACTAAAGTTGTGAGTGAGTGATTTGGCTACTGCATAAATTAAGTTTGCTCTGGAGCCATCCTTCCTGAGCTAAGGCAAAAATCTGTGAGCTGGAGGCTAAAAAACTGTGAGCTAGCTCACACTAACTCAGCTTAGAGTTGTACAACACTGCCCCAGACTATGGTCCTGTTCCTTCAAATGGAGTGCAACCCCATCCAGAATGAGAGACCTTCTGCCCATTAGTAGCTCTTCTGTCTTGTCGCAATTAAGCTTCAGTTTATTAGCCTGTATAATTTCATTTAACCGTACCTAAACTACAGACTTAAATGTTCATTTCCTCTGCCCAGGATCCTCTGACAATTAAGAGACAGTCTTTAGCACCCTCACCAAACTATGATATCCATGAATTCTTTGCAGGAAGCCCTGATAGTTAAGCTGGTGTAGACTCTCTACCAAGCTGTAGCATAGACGTGTAATCCACGTTGCTATGTAAACAGTAAAAGCAGCGTAGGGAAGAAAGAGAGAGATTATCCTTACTTAGTTTTTCAATGTTGCGCATCACTTTATCGCCTTTCTTCATATAGGATGCCCGGAAGCCATCGACAGAGAAGATGATCAAAGGAGGGCGAAGAAAACTGAAGTGTAAAAGGACACTTGTGAACTACAGGCTGAAGACTACGTGGCAGAAAAAAGAGAGCAACTGGAAGAACAAAGCCAGCTACAACTTTTGGAGGGTTCCTGGGCGACTTCACCTACAATAGTTCATATAAAAGACCAAGATGCACGTCATCCCACACTGGCAGCCAATTTTCTTAATAGTATGAGCACCAGGAGTAATATTTCCCAGCTCACAGGCGGCATCTACCCCCCCCCCCCCAGTAATGGGGTAGATGGATGATGGAATCTCAGTGGTAGAATAGTGGAGGCAGCGGCTCCTACTCAAAGGCCTGGTGGAAGAGCTCCGTCTTGCAGGTCCTGCGGAACTGTACAAGGTCCCGCAGGGCCTGGATCTCCTCCGGGAGCTTGTTCCACCAGGTAGGAGCCGCCACCGAAAACACTCTGGCCTTAGTTTGGGCAAACTTCACACTTCGGGGGCCTGGGACTTCCAGGAGATGGAGATACCCCGATCACACTTAACCACTACACCAAACTGGCTCCCTGTCCTACACACATAGAATCTTATCCTACACTCGTTTATAAAATATGTTTTCAAATAATAAATATGAGGCCTAGTTTTCCAAGTGAGCCCCAACCAAACATGAGACAAACCATGGAACTGAAAGGCAGATAGGAATTGTGAGTAAAACTAGGTAAGATGTTAGAAAAATTGTGAAAAGATCCCAGCAGAATGGTTTTTTGTTTCATTGGAAGATGCATGTCGGCTACCCATAGATGTACCACAGAGGTACAAACAGAAGGTTGAGGCCTGGAAATGGCACAGGGCTAACGTGTGCCACACTCCCAGTCTGCCATTGCCCTCAAGCTGCTATTTAGAAGTTTAAAATTCCACTGGAAATAGGGATGCCAACCTCCAGGTGGGTTCTGGAGACCTCCCCAAAATTACAACTGAATTCCAGACTACAGAGTTCAGTTCCCCTGGAGAAAATGGCTGCTTTGGAGGGTGGATTCTATGGCCTTATACCCCACGGAGGCCCCTCCGCTCTCCAAACCCCCTCCTCCCCAGGCTCTACCCCCAAATCTCCAAGAATTTCCCAACCTGGAGATGGTAACCCTGAGCCCATTGGGGAGGACGGCATACAAATCTAAATAAATAAATAAATAAATAAATAAATAAATAAAATAACGGGAAATCTGCTCCTCAGTCTTCCATCACTTCATTCAATTCAACCCTGGTATAATTTCAAAACAAGCATTCAGCTAAAAGCTGGTGGAGAGGACAGACTGCAGGTTGCATTCGGCACCAATTATTCGAAAATGAAAAAGAGGCACTCTTCTGTATCTGTTCTGACCCCCCCCCAAGGATCAGTAGTTCTCCATCTTATTACAGACTCCTCAGCACTCTGCTACATACCATATTCTTTTACTCTGCGACAGGCTCCCCCGGCTTTGAAGCTTTAGTAAGCCAACCTTTTTCTTTTAAAATGCCAGTCTTCTAATTGCATCTTCCCTAAACACACTTAATTCCATGTGTGCATTTTTTTAGCAGTTCTGCGTATCCTCAAACGGTCTGTGTTTACCAAGGATAATCCTAATTATCTGATAGCTGTCTCTGGAAAGTTACTGTCCCTATTTTGCCTTTTGGGAAATTGTTTGTTTTACCCAAAAAAACCCATTTCGGGCCCCTTTCTCAGCTTTTTGGAATCTAAATCTCTGAAGGATGTTCGGGCGGTGAGTGCACCTTAACATTTATGCTTGTAGGTATGCAAGTAAATGCATTCCTGTGGAAGCAAAATGACAGTCAGATTGCCAATGGGACAGCTTTCCACTTGGTTGTATGTCTGTCCACTTACGGTAACTGCTGGCATTTAAACTAGATATGGACGGTGCTAACACCTCAACTACATTTTGCATTTCTTAGGTACTTAACATTGCTAATGTGACATCACTAGGCTCACCTCCTTGAATCTCAGGATTTGGGTTTCTGGAGACCTAGCAACCCTAAGCTATTTTTACGACTCTCCGATTGTCATCTATTTATTTATTTATTGGGGGGGTTGTATTTGTGTGTGTGTGCGTGCATGTGCATGTGTCTGCACCTGGAGATCACATTGACCTCTGATGACTGACGCCTGCTGGGGGCCTGGAGGATATTCAGAGAGGTGGCTGAGTAAGGCCTGCCTCTGTCTTCCTGACTTGGTATTCCAAGGAAATCTCCCATCCAAGTACAAACCACAGTTAACCCTGCTTAGCTTCCGAGAACTGATGAGATCGGGTTTGCCTGGGCTATCCAGGTCAGGGCCAGTTGCCATTTATCTAGATAGCTCCCCTGTAAGAAGCTGCAAGACCCACTTGCGCTTATTTATTTTCATAGTTTATATTTGACATCCACCTGTTGAATCACTCTAGGATAGCACATAAATCCTCCACAAGCAGGGTTGCCACATCTGCACCTGAAGTCCTGGGAGCTTTTGGGTGGCAGAGCTTAAGGAGCGAGGAGAGTTGCAGGCGCCATGATCACCTGGAAGTGACATCGCACGTTGCTCAATTGGCTGAGCACAGGTGGGGGTTTCCATAGGTGGGCAAATGGTAAGCATATATATGAGCAATTTCAAAGCCGTTCAGGGACTACTTGTCCAAAAAGGCTCAGAGAACCTTGAACTTGTTACTGAACCGTTGTCAAATAAATGAGCACCGGATCCCACCTACTAGCCCAGTCCCCTATCCCTGCATCCTAATCATAGCATGAACACAGAGCCTGCATGCCTTCCCATTGTGTTTATCAATAGTTTTGCTGGGTCACAGACTTTCTGTTGTAAAATGTGGGTCTGGTTGTATTGTACACTGCTTTGAGAGGCTTGCTTTGAGGCTGGATAAATGAACATTATTTTGAGCCAGGAAATTGCTCAAAATATAGAATTCACTAAACAATATTATTTTGAGAATGCAAATAAGCCAACAAGATGGTTGGCATATAAATTAAAGAAACAACAAGAAAGGAACATTATAAAAGTAATGAAAAATAAGGATGGAGTTTAACAATATAAGCTAGCAGAAATATAAAAGATAACGGAAGAATACTATAAGATGCTATATCAACAGGATATACAAGATAAGAATCCAGAAGAGTCGGTATATGTACTTACCCTGCTGGGCATTCCGGAGCCCGTATTTCCTCACAATCATCCTGAACCCAGTGAGATTCTCCTAAAGTGAAAACATACAAAATATTGCATACTGTGCAGTTAAGGATTACTGCTGTAGCCAAACCAGTGGCATGCAATCCAAAGCTATGCGTGTTGACGTGTAATTCCCATTGTGATCACTGGAAATTACTCCCACGTAAGAGTGCATATGAGTGCAGCCACAAAACTCATTCATCTTCCTATACAGGTTAACTGATCACGGATAAGTTTAAAGAGTCACTGAACCCAGGCTCCTGATGTCTGTGTTCTTTAAGCGTAGCCGTGGAAGGGAGGGGACAATTTCAATTAAAGCCATGGCTCTAGGTCTGGGGTGCTTAACCTTTTCACACATACAGTTTTCCCCAGGGGTCGTTTCATAGAAAAAGAGCTAGGGGAACTCATTAGCATAAATCAGTAGCATATGCCACACCCCCTGACATCAGGGGCCTGGCGGTGGACCTGCAAGGCCGGCGGGAGTGCGAGGAAGCCCCGCCAAGGCCCTCCCTGGCCCCAGGCAGGCAGGGGTGGAGAGAGGCGGGGAGGAAGCAACTTACCCTCCCTCTTCTCCTGACTCCTCCTGGCTGAATGAGGGCCAGAAGCGGGGCAGCCGGAAGCAGGGGCGGGGCTTCGTCGTGTGCCCCGCCCCTCGCACCTCACCCGGGGGAACTGCAATCCCTCGCGATCCCCCCCGAATCGACCTCTGGTTTTCCCTCAGAGAAATTATCCCTATCTGCCCTTAGCCCAGTCACCAGAAACAAGTGCTTGAAACGTGTGAACTGAGTTCTCTTGATTTCAGCCAGAACTCCACAGAACTGTAGAACTGAGTGATCCAGTCCAACTTGCTTTTGCATGATTCCCCCTCCCTGAAATCTCAGCTAAGGTTCAGGAAAACCAAAGGGCCACGCGACACTAGTGGGGGCAGTGAACAGAGGGAACCAGACAAAATCCCCCCTTCTGTTCAGCGTGACCAGCAATACAGTTCTCGGCACACGGCACTTCTCTTAACGTACACTGTCAGCGGCTAACGTGTGCAAATCAAGACAAGGTAAGTGGGAGTCAAGAGGCATAACAAGGCAGTGTTCTGCCAGATTTGTGACCGATGTTCGTACTGGAGAAGTGAAGGGTTGGAATGCTGTTTTCCCATGTCTCAGCTCATATGGGAGTGAGTTGGTAGGCAGAATCACCGTTGCTGACCTTTCAAAAATATGTCCTCTGTTAAAAATTAGTCACTAACAAGGGTTCTGTATTGTACAGTGTATGCTCACTGTAGCACTGCTTCCTTGGATACCAAACCTCAAGATCCCGGGGAACTTACTGTGCAGTCTTAAACAGAGATGCACCGAAGGGGCTTAAAGACTTCCCAGAATTGCAAATGATCTCCGGAAAACAGAGATCAGTTCTCCCGGAGAAAATGGCTGCTTTGGAGGCTGGGCTGTATGACGTTTTACTCCACTGAGGTCCCCCTGCTTTCCACAGCCTGCCCTTCGCAGGGTTCACTGTGAAATCTCCACGTATTCCTCAACCCAGAGTTGGCAACACTAGTTGCACCAGTGGGCATAGAATGGCACAACTCTGCTTAGGACTGCACTGAAATTCACATATTGGATACTTCATGGTCTTTAATATTAAAGTTGTGCCCACAAGTCTCGTTCACAGGGTTGCTACATGAGTGCCTGTAACCCCTTGTAAACATAGGGGAAATGATATCATTGATGCATTGACATCACTTCTTGCTAAAACCCAGAAGTGACATCACTGACACCAATCACTACAGAGACCGGGGGGGGGGGAATCCTAGGGGATCAGTGACATCACGTCCAAGTTTAAGCAGGAAGTGACATCAACAAGTTGAGCACCGACAGGGAAAGGGGGGGGCTTTGGCAGGGATCTGCCTGCCAAAAGAGGGCAAGAGGCACCCCTAGTCTTTCATGACTATATACCCTTGCATGAACACAGGTCACACAAGTTTAAACAATGAGGAATAGATCCCACTATCATTTTTTTTAGTTCAGCATAAGCTTTAGTGTTCTGGAGCCCAATTCTGTGCAGTTTTCACTGCCGTACACTAACACAGCTATCTCTCTCTAGCATTTATACAACACAGACGAAAGAGACTGAAACTTCTGAAGACTGAGGTGCTACGATGCTGCATCCCAACCCTACACTTGGAGGTTTGTTTTCTAAATTATACCACTCAATCCAAGTTTGTAAATTATGGAAAACAGAATTCTCAGCTCTGCCCATTTTACAGCAGGTAGCGATGTGGAATAAATCTGAACAATTAAAAACAAAAAATTCTCATGGTGGGATGGGGTTGTGGGGGGTGGGAATCTTCAAGTAAAAGCTAGTTTGATATATGCAAGATGCTGGTACGGGACTTTGGCTCCGTGGTAGAGTGTCTGCTTGGTATGCATTCGGTCCCAGGTTCAATCCTTGGCAACTCTGGGGAAGGATCAGGCTGTAGGTGATGTGACAGACCTCTTCCTGAGACCCCGGAGAGCCGCTGCCAGTCTGTGTAGACAGTACTGACTCTGATGGACCAAGAGTCTGATTCGGTATAAGGCAGCTTCATGTGTTCAAGTTATCAGCGACTAGCCCAAGTCAAGCCAGAATATCAGCAGCATTCTATCCGCCGAAAGGAAGATGCATACAACTGATCCTTTTGAAGCTGGATTTACAGCCATTCTGGCCTAGAGCCCAGGTCACCAAGACCTTTTGCTACTGGCAATTCACAGGGAGGCAGGTTGGGAAATTCTGCTTCTCTTTAAAGGGAATATTGAAGGAGAGGAGTATCTCTGAAGCCGCTACTTGGGGGGAAACATACCCAGCATGAGGGAGTTTCTGTATAGAGGCACATCTCCATAGTCTGCCTGAATAACCTTCTGATCAAGGTTCCAAGAAAGGAAATAAACTGAGAATACATTGAGGCTATTATTTTAAGTGGAATAATAAAAGGGTAACCCTTTCAAGCTCTAGAGCACTGAGAGTAACTGGACAACCAGATAAGTTATCTAGGGAGATTCTGGAAATTCCTTCCTTGAAGATTTAGACAAGACTGGACAAATATATGTATTGGCTTTGCCTTAGGGCAGTGATGGCAAACCTTTTAGAGACCAAGTGCCCAAACTGCGACCCAAAACCCACTTACTTATCGCAAAGTGCCAACACAGCAATTTAGCCTGAATACTGAGGTTTTACTTTAGAAAAAAACAATCCATACTTTAACTTAAGTAAGGAAAGCAATCCCAAATGCTTTCATTTACTTAAAATTATTTGGCAGAGAATTCAACACTTTAATGATGGTCTGTGCCTAGTTGGGGCGATGGCACGTGTGCCCACAGAGAGGGCTCTGAGTGCCACCTCTGGCACCCGTGCCATAGGTTCGCCACCACTGCCTTAGGGTATAGTTCCATATTATATTTTTTAAAAAGTCTGGGAAAATAACCGCCCCTTTAAAGGGGAAGACACAGGGCTATTTAACTCTTTCTTGTGCTCCCCCCCTCCCCCAACTAGGGCAATAGTAGCTTGGGAATGGGTATGTAGCACACACGCACACCCTGGTTACCCTCCTCCCCTTTAATACAGTTTACAGTTGCACACTGAACGTCTGGGGAGAGATATCCAAACTTTAGCATCATTTTTATTATGATAAGGAGGGTGGATTAGATGACACACGTCTCCTTTCCAAAACTGTGGTGCTTATTTCTATTTCAGGGCAGAAACGGAACAGAAACGGATACCTTTGCAAACCACTTGGAAGTTAGTACAGCAGTCTCCTCTGGCCAGGCAGTCTTCAGAGCACTGGCAGGCGTTATCTTCATTCCTTGCCTCCCCACAGCGCTCTTTCGTACACTCCCAGCCTCCAGCTAGTATTAGTACAAAAGCAACAGAAAGAAGAAGGTATTTTTATACTGTCTCAGGAGAAAAAGCAAGAACAGTTGCACCTGCAGTCATTTAGTTTTTTCTTGGACAGAAGAACAAATCTTTGAACCAGTTAAGATTGTGTGTGTGTGTGTGTGTGTGTGAATTGCTGTAAAGTTGCAACCAACTTATAGCGACCCCATAGGGTTTCCAAGGTGAGAGATGAACAGAGGTGGTTTGCCATCGTCTGCCTCTGCGTAGCTGCCCTTGACTTCCTTGGTGGTCTCCCCTCCAAGTACTAACGAGAGCCAGTTTGGTGTGGTGGTTAGGAGCGCGGAGTGTAATCTGGGAGACCCAGGTTTGATTTCCCACTCCTCCACATGCCGCTGCTGGTGTGACCTTGAGTCAGTTACAAGTTCTTTCAGAGCTGTTCTCTCACAAGCAGTTCTCTCAGAGCTCTCTCAGCCCCACCTACCTCACAGGGTGTCTGTGGGGAGGGGAAGGGAAAGGGATTGTAATCTGCTCTGAGACTCCTTTGGGTAATGAAGGGCGGGGTATAAATCAAATCTCTCTTCTTCTTTTAACAAGGCTTGCCCCTACTTAGCTTCTAAAATCTGACAAGATCAGGTTATCCTGGACTAGCCAGGTCAGGGTATAGTTGTTTACTCCATGACATAAGGCACAGATACATTATCACCCTGCACTGGTTTTTACACTAGTTCGATTATTCATGCTTTGTTAAAAAATGCTGGGAATTTTAGTTAGGCTAGGTTTAGTAAGGCTCTTGAAGATCCTTAGCATCTTCCCATTATAGAACAGTTCCAAGGATTTTCTCTTAATTGTGAGGGGAAAGCTATTGAAACAGTTACATTTAAATAGGTTGTATCCTACAAACTGTTAGATCGCAGCTAACAAAGATCCGGAGAGTGATTTCAACAAAGTGATCAGCTTTATTATAGGTACGAACAAGCGCTTGAAAGAAGTCAAAACCAGAACAATTTAACATTGGTATCTAGGCTCCTTTTAAACATTCCTGGACTAACGTAGCCACGCCTACTTACAATAAACAACCAATGAGGTTGTGCAGATAACGTCCAATGAAAGTCCTTCCCTCACAGGGAATTGGTATAGTTCTGATTGGTCGCTGTTGTGGAGCGACCAATAGCAAGTTGGCTCGGAGGAGCCTTCCTCTGGCTCGAGCTTATCATGGAGAGTGAATGTGGTGATTCATGTAAGCCTTTTTGAATACACCACACAAACTGTGAGAACAAATTGCTCATGGAGACCACTCTTACCCACCCTTACAGCCCCATGACCTCTGAAATGCCAATGCAGAGGTCTGGGAACAAACAGGGACTGCAGCATGGAGAGAGAATCAGTTAAAAATTGCTCCTCCTCCACCAGCATGGTGTTCTTCAAACTGCAGTCTGGGAATTCTTGAGGGGAGGTTTTGTGAGTCTGATTTAAGGACAAAGTGAAAGCATTTCTCATGGTTATTTCTGGCCAATATGAAAATACAGCCCTCTCAGATTTCTAAGCATATGGCTAGTGTTAAATACTGGATTCCACGGATGGTCTGAATCCAAACTTAGTGATCAGCTCTCCTTTACTGGTGATTCAGCCAGAACAAAAAGCAAAAAGACTGGGCAACTGCCCTGTTTAAATAACATGCAACTCCACCCACGTCCCCAAACAGCTACCAACGGTTGCAGTGCGATGTGCATGGCACTGGAGCTTGGTGCGCAGTATGGTATAGATGGGTGCTAGGCTCGCTCAACAGGATCCCACCCTCATCGCCAGTGTTAAGTACTGGGTTCCATGGATGGTCTGACCCCAAGCTTAGTGATAAGCTCTCCTTTATTGGTGATTCAGCTAGAACAAAAAGCAAAAAGCCAGGGCAACTGCCCTGCTTAAATAGCATGCAACTCCACCCACTTTCCCAAACAACTACCAATGATAGGCCATTGTCAGAACCATTAGTTCCTCACTGGCCACCTCCAGAGTCCTGGTGGGTTATTGTTCTAGAGCTCCAAGCTCAGCCAGTCTCTGGTAACAACAGTCCTGGAATGCTCCAGTCCCAATACAGAACAGCTAGGGACTCTCCATTTCAGGAAAATGCAATGGAACCAACTTATCTCTTTCAAAAGGTGGGAGCTCATAGAGTTGCCATTATCAGCAGTCACCTAGTTTTCAGGTCACCTCAGAGAACTAGACCAGAAGATGTACTGATTGGTTGCCAGGAGCCAATAGCTCACCCCTAGAAACTCTTAACTGGTCGAGAAGCAACAAGGAGATAGTGTCCTAATCCAATAAGCACAGTTATTTCCAGTACAAAACTGAACTGGTTTTCAAAATAGATATATGTTTTCAACTCAAAGAGATGGCAGTTTCCAAGTGAATCCCAGAAATTCAGGTTGTGACATTGGTCCTTTCATATGCCTGTGAGCAGCTCTTTCCAAACCCCTTCCCAATCTGGTCATCTAGTTTCTCGCTAGAAGTTACCAACTAACTCCACAGCACCCGATACCAAACAGAATAGAAATTTATTAGAACATATGCAAGGCCTGGTCCGCTCCCTGATGGCCCATAACCAATAACAGCCAGCAACTAATGTAACAAGTGAAAAATGAAGCTAAAGCAAAGGCTTTTTCCTAAAAGGATCATGTTAAAATAACTATATAATACAACAATGGAATGTCATCAAATTCACAAGTCCCCACAATATAACACCAACTGATAAGGAAGTTTATTGTCTCGAATACAGCACCTCTTCCAATCAAGGGGCAAGGCTGATTAGAAGTTTGGCTCTTTTGATGAGCTATACATCAGCTCTTTTGAGCTGTGACCCTATAGAATCAGCTATTCTCTGAGACCCTGATCTTGTAAGCTGTGTACAAACAATAACAAAATCTTAAACTTGCTTCTGAAGTGTGGTTCTCACAGTTCAGATGATACCACAGGTCAGAGGCCTCAGTAGGGACACACAAAGCTTACTATGCATTTCGGGGGGGAAATTTAAATTAAAGGGGGGGGTTGTCAGATTACTAAAGTTCAAGAAGTCTAAGCTAACGGAAGAGATCGTCCTCCTTGCCTTCGCATAGAAAGGATTGGGCAATTTTGCCCAATTTCCCCCTCACATGACACATGGCCAAGATATTTTGTCTACAAAGGTCTCCCAACACTCAGCATCTGTTTTTCACCTGGTCATAGTTGGCTGCTGAAGGAAAGGACTCCTTGCGCTCCAGTTTATAGGATCCAAGTGTTGATGTAACCTAGGGTTACCCTAGTAGGGTTATCGTATTTTGAAAAGCAAAAAAGAGGACATATTTCCCAACTGACTTTTTCAAACGAGTGATCAGTATGACAAATCTCATTCTAAATACCCCTGCTATTTAAGCTGTGATAACTCCTACTAATTAGGAATATTCCTAACCTTTCAACACAAAAAGAGGACATTTTCATTGTTTGTTTAAAAAGAGCCCCAGAGAGGACGAACACCTAAAAAAAGAGGACATGTCGTTTAAAAAGAGGACATCTGGTAAACTCATGTAACCAAATCATCTAAAATTTAAAACTGGGATAATTCTAACAAAATTTCTATTCAGCCATACCTTTGGGGACAACTCTCTCAGTTTCAATTGCTCCATCTACAAAACTGGAATTTTAGGTGACCAAAAGGAATACAGGTTGTAAAGTGACCTGAATACTCGTACGCAGAAATGTGCTTAACAAAGACCCCAACTACACATTAGGTTTTCCCTGGGGACATCTGTAGGCTTCTGATCTTGTACTCTTTTTGAAGAAATACCGCAAGACTAACAGATTCCCATGAAGAAGCCTGTTGGGAAAACGCATGGGGAATAGGGCTGCCAAATGCAGCCAGGGGGCGGGGAATCCCCCGCTTTCGAGCCCTGATTTCCGCCCCCGCGGAATCGGGGCCCGGGGGAAACCCCACCCCCGCGTGCGCGTCACCCGGAAGTGACGTCGCACGCTGGGGGTGGGGCCACGCCATTTGAGGGGAAAACAAAGAGTTTCCCCCTTAAATGGTGTGGCCCCGCCCCCAGCGTGTGACGTCACTTCCGGGTGACGCTCACCCGGTGCGCGAGCGCGCTACGCGCGAGCGCACAACCCCGACATCGTCCGGGAGCCCCCCGCTCCCGGGCGATTTAGATTTGGCAACCCTAATGGGGAATTTTAGAAATTTTAACAGAGTATTAGACTATATTTATTTTGCACCATTGGCTTTGGCCTTATCTTTTAGTGACTGGTGCAGCCCTTTTATTTTCTCCTTGGCCAATGACATACTTGTTACATTTCCACAGGGGAACTTTTTCAACCCCCCCCCCCCCCCGCTGTTTCTGGTTTGGAAAACAGCTCTTGGGGGAGAGGAGAGAGCTCTAAGAGCCCCTGCTCTGTATTACATGGACCCAGTACGAATCAGCCTAAGAATGCCTGTGAAACACAGGATTTAAGAACACTCCTCTCCACCTGATCAAAGAACTTCATAGCAGAAGTACAATGGGTAGTTAGGCCAGCCCTTGTGAAAATAGAGGCACAAAGGAAGTATAATTCCAAGGCCTCAGAACAACTAATATTCTTCTTAAAGACTAGTGAGAAATAACCTGAAACCTAGTTCTCTGTGAGCTGGTTAATTTGCCTCAATACAGCTTCAGATTGCAAGTGAAGGCTTCAGTAGGGATGGATGCCAGTTTCCAGGTGGGACCTGGGGATCTCCCAGAATTACAGATCATCTCCAGACTACAGAGATCAGTTCTTGGAGAGAATGGATGGAGGATGAACTCCATGACATTGTACCCCACTGAGGTCCCCATCCTCCCCAGGATCCATCCCCAAATCTCCAGGAGTTTCCCAACCTGGATCTGGCCGCCCTCCCCCCCATCCCTCACTGGTGGCCAGGGGGGACCTGGCAAGTAGGGTTGCCAAGTCTTCTTACCTTGGCAGCGTGGGAGCCCCGCTGGGCTCCGGGAGCTCCTTGGCGGTGTGCGCGCACCGGCAGCATGTCACAGGAAGTGACGTGCTACGTCGCTCATGTTGAGGGCGTGGCCCAGATCGTTGGAGGGAAAACCATACGCTTCGAGGGGCGGAGTTCCCCCCGGGGCCCGATTCCGCGGCGGCGGAAATTGGGCCTCCAAAGCGGGGGTTTCCCCGCCCCCACTTGGCAGCCCTACTGGCAAGTTCTCCATGTGCAAGCACCTTTTGCGCATGACCAAATGTTGCTCCATAAGATCCTTAATCCACAAGTCTGAAGAAGTACAACTCAGACACAGGCTTATACCTTTATGAGAACTAGGCCAGAGAGCAAACCATTAATAGTATCTTCTCTTGCCCCCAGCACAACTTTCCAGGGTCCTAAATGACGATCAATTAAGATACACAGTTATTGATAGAAATCTGGGTGAACGCAACTGTTTAGGACTCTCTCAACTGGACGGAATTGTTAAAAGTGATATTTGTGTGGTTATAGAGGATGGGTTTTCTTCATTCTGGAGCAGGGATGACAGCCTCCAGGTGGGACCTGGAGATCCCCCCCCCCAAATTACAACTTATCTCCCGATTACAGAGATAGTTCCCCTGCAGAAAATGGATTACTTAGAGAGTGGACTCAGTGGCATCATATGTATCCCACTGAGGTTCCCATCCTCCCCAGGCTCCACTCCCAAATCCCAAGGAGTTTTCTAACCTGGATCTGGCGACCCTATCCCACTGTCCCCTGCCGGTGGCCAGCCGTGACCTGGAAACCCTATTCCGGAGCCAATCGGTTGGCACGACCATATTCTCGGAGATATGATTCAAACCAGGGCTCTTTTTGTAGAAAAGGCCCAGCAGGAACTCATTAGCATAATAGGCCACACCCAACAGCAGGAGTTTACTAGCATATTGGGTCACACCCCTGACAGCACAGCTCATTAGCACATTAGGCCGCACCCCCATGTTACCAGAAGTGTGGTTATCTAGCCACACCCACCTTTTGCTTGTTATTCTGTTTACCTTGTTTGTTGTCAAAACCCAGGGCTTTTTTTGTAGCAGGAACTCCTTTGCATGTTAGGCCACACATCCCTAATGTAGCCAATCCTAATGAGTTTCTGCTGTTGGGTGTGGCCTATTATGCTAATGAGTTCCTGCTGGGTGTGGCCAACTTGGGAGCCAGCCGGAAGTCTGTTCCTGTGCGTTCCTGCCCAAAAATAGCCCTGTTCAAAGCTAACGTTGTAGCAACAATGGAAGGTTGTTTTAAAGTCTGATATATTTTTGGCATCCCTCCAGACAGTACAAACTAATAGTGTGTAGACAGTTGTAGAGTTTAAACATTTTATTCTTTATATAGGCTCATCTCCAAAGTCTTTAATGTAGCTTACATAACTACTGAAGGGATTTAACTTGGGAGTTCCCCACTTTTTTGGCTTTTGATGGGGGATGTTATAAATACTCTGGAAGGGAATCAGTAAGTGGTTCTACTTAAACCCTTATTAAAGGATTCTGCCTTTTATTATTTCCTCCTAAAATGTACTTTCTGGGTGGCTGGTCAAAGATAAATCGACCCCAATATAATAAAAAAATGAATGACTACTGGAAGCTCATTTTCGTCTTCATCGTTGTAACCTTCCAGTAGCCTCCTGAGATAATGAACAATTTGTCAGGAAAGTGAGTTGGCTTTAGAAACCACCCATGCCGATTTTATGCTGTGCCAAGAAGAAATCCAACGCTTTCCACATTCAAATGGCAATAGAAAAAGAACGCTAGGACCATCGGGAACCCAGAGCAAATTTTGTCCAGTGAGATTTCCTCAGATCAGAAAGACCGTGCAGACTTCTTCATGTAGATATCTTCTTCACACAGACTTGTCTTTTCTTCCCCCTCTTCAATTTTATCATTTAAACTTCCTTGTTTTTCAAAAACATATCATATGCAGGAACCCCTTTTCAATGTTAACCGTGTTATAGCATCCCCTGTGCCTACCAATTCCCCTTATCCCTTGGCAACAAGGGATGACAGCCTCCAAGTAGGACCTGAGGATCCCCCAGAATTACAGCTTACCTCCAGACTACAGAGATCAGTTCCCCTGGAGAAAATGGATGCTTTGGAGGGTGGACTCTATGGCCTTATACCCCACTGAGTTTCCCAACCAGGATCTGGCAACCCTATCCCACGTCAGGGATGCCCCACCCCCTCCAGGAACGCCCCCAAAGTCCCCCGCTGGGGGTGGAAGATGGACTTGGCAACCCTAAGTGGGAAAGAACTGCAGAGCATAGAATCTTGATGTAAAACTGACATAAAACTGATTTTGGTGGTGTAAATGAGCAAACACAAAGTAGGTGATATTTCTGTCTTTACTGATGTAACTTATAATGCTATAAACATATTTATTGCTTTGAATTCTATCTAATGGATTTTTATTATTATGTCAGTTTATGATATGAATTCATCTCTGAAGACATCCAAAACAAAGTTTTATCCGGAATCTTCATAAAAATATCATTTCATATCATATTGCACACTGTTTGGAAATAGTGTTTGCATTATGTACATGGTATGCTGTTTAAGAGCCTTTTTTGATATTCTCATCTGTAAAAGAGATTCTTTATTAATATGCTTGGATATGAATCTATAATATAACATTTTGAAAAGTCCCTAGCGTCTTATATTCATGGTTCTTTTTGCAGTTGGTATTATTTTTGAACTGCGTATCTGCTTTTTGCTCTACTGTACTTAGGACACACACACAGCAGCACTAATAGGACAACTTCAAGAGGCTCTCATCCAGGATGATATGCAGGGCAAAAACACTGAACAACTCTAACAAATTTTAAACAAAAAACTTCAACAGTACAGGGTTAATGAATTATGCTAGTTCTGGCCCCACCCATGTGAAGATGGAGGGGGTGAGAAATGAGGTTCCCATCATTTGGATTCTGTGTTGCATCAATTACTTCACCCTGACCCAGGGGTCATTTCATAGAAAAAGAGCTAGGGGAACTCATTAACATAACTCATTAGCATATGCCACACCCCCTGACATCAGGGGCCTGGCGGTGGACCTGCAAGGCCAGCGGGAGTGCGAGGAAGCCCCGCCAAGGCCCTCCCTGGCCCCAGGCAGGCAGGGGTGGGGAGAGGCCGGGAGGAAGCAACTTACCCTCCCTCTTCTCCTGCCTCCTCCTGGCTGAATGAGGGCTGGAAGAGGGGTGGCCGGAAGCAGGGGGCGGGGCTTCATCATGTGCCCCGCCCCCTGCACCTCACCCGGGGGGACGCAGTTCCCCCCCCGAAATGACCTCTGCCCTGACCTGAACAGGCCATGCTAGCCTGATCTCATCAGATCACAGCTGCCAAGCAAGGTCAGCTTTGGTTAGTATTTGGATGAGAGACCACCAAGGAAGTCCAGGGTTGTGATACAGAGACAGGCAATGGCAAGTCTCTTGCCCTGAAAACCCTACAGGGTCACCGCTTTCTACCACCACCACCAATTACTTCTCCCTCCTGACTGTTCAGGAAAGGAAGCCATGACCGCTCACTGAAAACAGGCTAAAGTGTGTTTAGGCACATGGAAGAGGTAGGGTGGCCAAGTCCGACTCCGGAAATATCTGGGGACTCTGGAGATGGAGCCAGGAGCAAGGATGTGACATCACAAAAGCAATGGCTACTCTAGTGACATCACAAAAGTGATGTCACTAGGGTTGCCAGGTGAGGCCGACAAACCGGAAGGGAGTTCTGGCCATCACATTTAAAGGGACTGCATTCATTTTAAATGCTTTTCCTCCATTGGAAATAAATGGAGGATGGGGGCACCTTCTTTTAGGGCTCATAGAATTGGACCTCTTGGTCCAAACTTTTTGAAGCTGGGGGGGGGGGCGTTCGCCGCCAGTGCGCACAAAGCCATTCTGCTAGTAACATGTGCATCAATATCAGAGAGCAAGAAAACGGTCAAATCCTGCTCTGAAATTCCATTATACAGAGGTACAATAGGATAAATAAACCTTTGCCTAAGTGATTCGTGCCATGAGCATCTCAGAATGTAATGCTCGACATCATCCACTTCACCCATACCACAGAGGCATATTCTGGAGGCGGCAGGGACACCCCGAAAGCGGCCAATACAAACCATCGAGGGTATGATGTGGAACCTTAGGGCAGTAAAAGCCCTTCTCAGCTCCAGAGTAGTTAGTTTCTCAAGATATACAGTCCTGCAATGATCTCTTTTAACGATCTTATACAAGGGGGCTGTACGGCAACTTACCACCACATGTCGGTTCAAAAGCCCATCCTTATTAAATACCCATTCCTTCAATTTAGACTTTTGGTTTTTGTTTATCAATAAGTCGTCGGGGATTGAGTATTTCAATAAAATAGAATTCAAGTGATCATCTAATCTTTTCGAGGATTTGCTGAAAATTTGGTGCTTCTACCTCAAAAAACACTCCCCTAGAGCCCCAGATACCCAAAGATGGCTTCTCCATTATACCCTATGGGGACCGGTTTCCATAGAGTATAATGGAGTGCCCAGCAGCCATCCCCCCCCCCTTTCTGACAGCTCTGAAGTGAGGGGAGGGGCTCCAAACAAGGGGATCTCCTGTCCCCAACTGGGGGTTGGCAACCCTAAGAAGAGGTCATGATAATTCTCGTGAGGTTTCAAAGCAGGCAGCACCCGAACTATCCTACCTGTCTTTAAACATAGTTCATCAAAGTCAGCACAACAACTGGTGTAGCTCTTGCACAGGTTGTCACAACGGCATCCTGGAGGCTCAGCCTCTTGAAGTTCAAAGCATCTGTTTCTGCAGGATCCAGCAGTACTGACCCAGGGGGAATCTGATAAGACTGTGTGGGGGGAGAGAAAAAAAAAAGAAAGAAAGAGGACACCATGATTCAGGCAACTAGCAGGTGGTTCAAGATTGCTCAAGCTACTGCAGATTTGGAGAAGATAATCAACAGCCTAAATGCATTGTCCAATAAATTAGGAAAAGGGGAAACTGGATAGATGGGTGGGGGAAGCCTTACGTTTTTCAAGTATATTTTCTTAGTTTGGATTCCATGAAGATTAAAGCAAGAAAGATCATTATTCTGTGGCATAAGAATCCAAGATTTGCATTGAAACCCCAATTTTTAGGCCCAGAATTATGTATGTTGAGACAATGATAATTGGATGCAAAAATAAAAATTTAGTGAAATAAGACAGAGAGTTGAAAATTCACTGGCAAAGACAGGGGAGCCTGAAAAGAGAAAAGGGCGTGGAGAAGAAGAAGAGATTGGATTTATACTCCATTCTTTACTACCCAAAGGAGTCTCAGAGCAGCTTACAATCCTTCCCCTCCCTTCCCCTCCCCACAAAAGAGACCCTGTGAGGTAGGTGGGCCTGAGAGAGCCCTTGAGAGAACTGCCCTTGAGAGAATGAGGAACTAATAAGGGCAAGTTCCAGTATTGGTGAAGGGTATGAAGCCCCACTACCTTGATCTCTGTGGAAGCTTTGCCCAACCATTCCTAACTCACAGGAAGGGAGGAGAGACAAAGTTACAGTAAAAAAGTGGACAATGGCTCCACTTTTGGTGGTGTTTGGTTTCGGTGTGTCCCCAGTGGAAACAACAGTACTAGGAAGAAGCAGAGATGAGGAGCAATTCTAAGAAGGTCGACTCAGAAGTCAGTCCCATTTTATTCCAGGGGGTTTTTGCCCAGGAAGCCACAACAGTAGGAGTTTTTGCTCCTGTTGTTTGAGGCATCAACTTTGGGCCGAAACAAATGTGTTACAAGCATAAGAAGAGCCCTGCTGGATCAGACCATTGGTCCATCTAGTACAGCATCTTGTTCCACATCGTGGCCAACCAGTTGCTCCAGAGGGCCAACTAACAGTCCACAGAGGTTGTCCCATGATACTGCTGCCTCTGAATATAAGGAAGTTCCCTTTAATGGATAGTAGCCATGTCTACTCCCCCCCACCTTTTAAAGTTATCTAGCCATCAGTATATCCCCTGGAAACAAATTCCACAATTTAACTACTCATTGAGTAAAGAAGTATTTCCTTTGGCCTGTCATGAACGTATTACCCATCAACTTCATTGGTTGCCCCTGAGTTTTAGTTTTATGGGAGAGGAAGAAAATAACCTCTATCCACATTCTCTACCCCATGAATAATGTTATAAACCTCTATCACACCTACCCCCATGATTGTCTTTTTATCTAAACCGAGAAGACCCAAACTTTTCAGCCTTTTCCCATAGGAAATGTGCTTCAACCCATTCACCCTCTTGGGCAACGGTCACACGAAAGGTTTGGGGCCGGGAGAGGGATGGATCGGGGGCGGAGCAAATGGGCGCGATCCCACCGCAACATCTGGGAAACGTTGCACACCCGTCCCCGATCCGGCCCTTCAGGCCGAAAAGCCGCATCTAAAATAAACCACCTACAGAGCTGGACTTACCAGCACGGTCGCATCAAGCGCGGCCGTGGGATCGCCTGCGCGTCCTTCTGCCGGTGCATCCAAGACCCCTGACCGAACTGCGCATGCTCACACATGCGCAGTTCGGCAGCCTCCGTCTCCGTCTCGTCGCTTTCTCCCCAGTCTCCCCGGCATCTGATCGTGCTGGGGAGCAACTGCGCGGCGGCTCACGAGATCTGTATGATCCTGCCACCGCGTGTCTATTTTGGTGCGACTTTCAAAAGCCGCACTTTGCCCACGCTTCCCCGCCCCCCGCCCCCCCGTGTGGCAGGGGCCTTGGTTGCTCTCTTCTGTACTCTTCCCCAGCCCTGCGATATCCTGTTTGGGATACGGCAACCAGAACAGCACAGAGCACTCCAAATGCAGGCACACGATTGCTTTATGCAAGGGCATTAGCGGTTTCATTCTCAGACCCTTTCCTAATAAAGCCAATTGTCACTACGGCTGCACAGTGAGTCAACATTCTCCTCATACTCTAGAGAATAGGTGCAATAATTCTGTTAGAGGGCTGCAAGAAAAGCAATGTAAGATAGTATGACAACCGCTTTTGTTTAAATATAAACAGCCAGTTTCCAAGACAGTTACTCTGCAGTGAGATCAACCTGAACTTGATGGGGGGGATGGATAAGTCAGAGTGAGGGCAAACGCTGTCCTCAGTGACTCCCATAGACAGGAACCAAGTTTAGCTGGCTGCAATCGACAAGATTGTTGGGGACACAAACATACACACAACCCTCTCTGCTTTGGACATTGTGTTCACGAGGGCCACGAATTTTACTCTTTTTAAACATTTAAACATTTAAATTTGAAACATTTAAACATTTAAATTTGAAACATTTAAACAGGAATGAATGGCAGCTGTTCATTACATCGATATGCCTTTTGACACACACAACACGTTAATCATCAGGGCCAAATTCCGTGCAGGGTAGGCGATCCAAGATCAGAGCTCCCAATCGGTAATATCAAAACTAAAGAAGGAAACGGGGCGGGGGGGGGGGGGGCAGATCGGAGCCACAGTACTGAAACATGAGGGTAAATTCTCCCCCCTTGATGTTTCCCTGAAAGAAATCACAAGCCTCTATCCCAGGCATCTTATTAAGAGAAACATAGTTGGATGAAGTGTGCATGTACACAAAAGCTTATACCCAGAATTAAACTTTGCTCATCTTAAAGGTGCCGCTGGACTCAAAACTTTGTCCTATAATTCTTTTTGCACTACCACTCTAACCACGGGGAGGGGGGAGGCTGTCCTAAGGAAATGGTATTGGGGAGGGAGTTAACTCCACTGCCTTAGAACGCTTCTGGCTTTGACGTTTTCCCAGTACTGCTTTGGTAGGGCCTTGTAGAAAAACGGTATCCAAAGCAAGTTTGACGGAAGCATGGTGCTACGTTTGATTTCTGCCCTTGGTAGAAACTTTGGTCTGGGTATTTGCTGTGCCTGTTTTTCGCAGGGAATTGTCTCCTGCTCAGGGCACCGGGGCGTCCAGGCCACCGGTCGAGCCGGCACCTTGCCATCCAGACTCAGAACTTGGCTTGCCAAGTCCCCCCAGGGGGCAGATCGGGCCCCGGGGGGAACCCCACCCCGACGTGCGCGTCACCCGAAAGTAACGTGACGACGCCGGGCACGCTGGGGGCGGGGCCACGGTCATCCGAGGGAAAACTCTATGGTTTTCCCTCGGATGGTTGTGGCCTCGCCCCCAGCATGCCCGGCATCACATCACTTCCGGGTGACGTGTGTGCGATGCGCGCGCTCCAGCCGCCAGCGGGGAATCCCCTGCTCTGGCGAAATTTTGACTTGGCAACCCTACTCAGAACCCGTCCAGGACTTTGATGGAGCTGACGGGCCCTCGGAGTGCACAAACTCTGACCGTTCTCAGGGCACCCATCAGAGCGGGCATTCGCAGGAACGTATGCCGCTTCTGCGAAGGTCCACCCGACTAAGGCGGCCCCCTGCCTACCTTAGGGACTATCATATTTGAACCATGGGGGGGGGAGTGTTATGTTCTATGTTATGTTTAAACTGCAGTATTCTGGTGCTCTCTGTTGGGATTGGCTCCCTAATAAAGACTGCCAATTGGTCCTTAAGCCAACGCAGAATGCCCTATCCTGAGGCTCTGCTTAGGTCCAATCAGACCTCCTGAATCTGGTAGCATTGTATATAGTTCAGTTATGAAATCGCACAAGTTTGAGTGCCGCTCTTTGCAGAGCAGTCCTGAGCTGAGCCATGTTTTGAATAAAGCCTTTCTTCGTTTGACCATCGCCTCCTGCCTCAAAACTTAAAACATGGGGAAAGAGATTTCTGCAGCTCTCTCACACGTAGGGCTGCCGGCCTCTGGATAGGGCCTAGAGGTCTCCCAGAATTTCAACCAATCCCCAGAGATCAGAGATCAGTTCCCCTGAAGAAAATGGCTGGTTTAGAGTGTGAACTCTGCGGCATTGTATACCAGTGAGGTCCCTGCCCTCCTTAGGCTTCACCCCCCCAAAAAAAATCTCAATGCATTTCCCAATCCAAAGTTGGCAACTCTACTCTCATATCCGTTGCTGACCTGGATAGCCCAGGCTTACCCAATCCTGTCAGATCTCAGAAGCTAAGCTGGGTTGGCCTTGGCTACTATTTGGATGGGCGACCTCCAAGGAATACCAGGGTCATGATCAATGCTCCTTCTAAGCGGTGGAGTCTTGAGAGCAAGAATTCTACTTTTTGAGCTACTACTGGCATTAAAGTTGTGGACGAGCGATTTGGCTGCTGCATCAATTAGTTTGCTCTGGAGCCATCCTTCCTGAGCTAAGACAGAAATTTGTGAGCCAGAGGCTAAAAAAACTGTGAGCTAGCTCACACTAACTCAGCTAACTCAACACTTAGGCAGGTAAAACTGTGAGCTAGCTCACACTAACTCACACTAACTCAACACTTAGGCAGGTAATGACCAACCACTTCTGAAATGTCTCTTGCCTTAAAAACAAGTCTAGCTCGCCACCTGGTGTTGCATAATGCTAAAAGAGCTAGGACTTCTGGCTGCCAGACAATCTTAGGATCTCCTGGCTATACTACACACACTGCCATACAGTGATGATGATGATTAGCCACCAGTCCATCTCCCATACCACTCCAACAGGGTTTTGCCAGCTTTTAAATATTATTATTTGTTGTAAATATATTTCTATAGCATTAATACTATACTAATACACAAAGTACTGATTTTTCAAAAGCATAGAGTTAGGGGGGTGGGGAAGAGGGCAAGTGTGAGGGGGAAGAATGAGCGGTTGCCCTGCAGAGAAGATTATGCATGGGATAGAGCAGGTAGAGAAAGAAGTACTTTTCTCCCTTTCTCACAATGCAAGAACTGGTGGGCACTCCATGAAATTGCTGAGCAGTCGGGTTAGA